GTCATTACATGAATAATAAGTAAAAAGTTATGTGCTTAAAATATAATTGTTTCTCTTTTGACTTCAAAGGGTCAATGAAAGACTTCAAGAAATCAGATGCGTCTCTTCTTTTTATCATTATTAAAAATATGTTCTCATTATATTTTCAGGAAAAGAAATAAAAACACCACCAAATATGCTCACCCTGAATATGAGCATCATGGGCACCATGGGCACCATGGGCACCATTTCCAGTAGAAGATACTTCTGGCAGACTTCTCAGCCTTTGGTACAGTGAATGCTACTGCTTTCCCCATCTCTCTATTCTCAATCATAGAGTTGCCAATACTAAAGATTGTATATTGAGAGTTGAGGTTTCAACACCTTCGTCATGATAAGCATGTGATTACAGATTTATACATCTTCACCTTGGTTCTATTCCTCTAGTTCAGCTACAACTTACTAAGCTTCTTTTAAGGAAGAAAGGTTTGGGAAGAGAGGGGTTGGAAGTATGGAGAGGCTAATAAAAATATCATTAGCCATTTCTGATTTATAAAATCACAATAAGGACTTTACTTCATTTAATAGCATGGAGGGAAACCAGCTTTTTTTTTTTTATTTTGCCATTCACCCAAAAAAACAGTCGAGCTGAGTTTTAAAATATACACTTATCAAAATATGTCACATGAGTAAAAGGCTGTGGAGACCAACAACATAGAACTAGGCTCCTATTTCTTTCCCAGCAATCTTACCCTGCACAGACACCTATAAAAGGCAATCCACTAGATCTAAGGTACTTTCAGCTCAGAAACATGATTTTCATATGCACACTTTGTCCATAATACAACTTGTATTCAAACAAAGAGGAAAAATGAAAAGGAAGGAGTGTGCTGAGTTCTGAGAGAAATATTAGCTTAGCATGATGTTCCCTAGCTGTCTCATTTACTTCTTTTTCTTCTACCCTCTTGTTTTCTGCTACTTAAAAAAGAAGAGGCACAAAAGAAAATTTAACAAAAATGGCAGATAAATGTCGGATAAGTGTCTGGTGATTACTAATTAATTTTCTTCATAAAACATCCCAAAAATAAAATTATCACTTATGTTGGCATAAATTAAAGATAAGCTAAATTATAGTAACTTTGATTAAACAGTTGTCTAACATTTATGCACATTACAGTATCCTGCAATAATGTTTAAAATTGTTGCAGGGTGCCTGGGTGGCTCAGTTGGTTAAGCGACTGCCTTCGGCTCAGGTCATGATCCTGGAGTCCCGGGATCGAGTTCCACATCGGGCTCCCTGCTCAGCGGGGAGTCTGCTTCTCCCTCTGACCCTCTTCCCTCTCATGCTCTCTATCTCTCATTCTCTCTCTCAAATAAATAAATAAAATCTTTAAAAAAAAAATTAAAAAAAAAACCATTTTAAAATTGTTGCAGAGTTGTGCCCTTCTATTTCCTCACTTATCTTGAATGTTAAAGGCTCAGGAAACTGGTTTCTGTCTGTGCCAATCCAAGAAAAATGTTCATCCAGTAACTACTCTGATCACTCCCTCCTTTCCGAAACTCTAATGCTGGCTTCCATCACAACAGCCTCTCTTGGTTTTCTTTCAACCTAACTCACCACTAACATCTGTTGTGGCTTCCTCTGCTCATCCTATAAGTGTATCCTCCTCAAGAATTCTATCCTGAGTCTATTTTTCTTATTATTCTAGGTGACCACATCCACTCAATAATCACCTTGCTTACGATGCCTAATCCTCGATGGTCATGCTATCCACTTATCCACTTACCCATTCAAATCTTTTCCCATATTTATATTCTCTATCCTAGTGATTAACACCACCACTCCTCAGCCACACAAACCTGAAATCTGGACACCTATGCATCACCTCTATGTTTATTTGGTCACCAAGTAATTTCTCTTCTATGTTATTGTTACCCCTTAAATATGTCATCTCTTCAGCACTATCCCTCTGTCCTTAGAACAAGACCTCCTCATTTCTCTAACAATCTGCCATAACAATTTTACAAGTAGCCTCCTGCCTCCAAGTCTGATCTGTTTCCATTGAGTCCTCCCCACCTGCTGCCAATGTAAACTTTCTTAAGTCTTTAAACATCTGCTCCACAAGGATTCAGGATGAAGCCCAAGTTCCTCAGCCATGATGCTGAGGTGTGGGAGCTTCTATATAAGAGCATCTGCTTTCTCACCCCAGGATAAAGTGGGGTTATCATCAGAGTAAGGAGGAAGCACAAGAGAAAGACTGTGGAGGTTTGAGAGGAGAACAGAGGAACAAAAATCTCAGAAACTGAGAAAATGGAATTTGCAAGGACAATCTTATAGAAGTGCTGAGTAGAAATGAGTTCTAACAGCAGGTCTGTGGTTAGGACTTCAAAGGGATACCAGTTAAGGCATTAAGGACCCTCCTACCTTCAAAAAACAGTTGAGCTACTCTGGTATAAATATGGAGGAAGCAAAGAGACGGGCTTAATGAGGGTTGTTGGGTTTTGTCAGGTGAGCAAGACAGTGTGTACAACATGCTAGGCACTGTTCTAGGTATAGGGATAGCCAGGAACCAAACAAGGCTGCTTTCTTAATGGAGCTTACATTGTTGAGGGGCAAATAAATAATACAACTGCAGAAAGCAATAAGTGTTATAAAGAATATAATGCTGGGTGGAGTTCGTAACATTATTCAAGAACATTATTTATTAGTGTTAATATTATTAATTGAGCACTTCAATTCTCCCAAAGATGGTACATAGCTGGCACCATTACCATGAATGAATGGCTTGCAGAGGCGGGACTCAATTCTCTAAATCTGCCTCTTTTAGAGCAGGGGTGAGGACATTCCCACGGAAGAGATGTTTAAGCAGAGACCACAAAATCTTGGCTTGAGAAAAATTGGGAAGACAGGGAATAACAAAATGGGTGAATCAGTGGATCGTAGGGCTAGATAAAAATCCAAAGACTTTTAGTGTGTATTCCATAGGCCACACAATAGTTGAATTATGAGGATAAGAGATGTTTCTATTATGTTGTGAGAGCTAATGCAATAAAAATGTTTGGCCAGTATTGGACATAGTCTCTTGAATTGCTGGAGAGAGATTTTAGATTTTGAAATGTGGCACATTTCAAAAAAAAACTTTGATGGGATTAAGAGAAGACTTTGATGGGATATATAAAAACATTAATATACCTATGTAAGGTAACCTGAGCACAGAGGCTAATATAAGAATACCATTTTATTATTGAGGAAAGCCTAATTATAAGCAAAGATTTGGCATATATTATTTGTGGTAAGGTGGAATGCATTTTTCAGAGCATAAATTTAATTGCAGAATTTAGTCCTGATAACTAGAAGGATTGTGGGACAAAAAAAAAATTGGCTACATTCATAAATCTTTATCTTAAGAAAAACATTTTGAAATCCATTGTTTTCACTATATGTCATTGAATATAGGCTCATAAGCACTCATGTTTAAAGCTGGACCCTTTTCCACATTTTGACATATTTGATCTATGTAAGATGTTCCAAAGAATTTGCTATTGTCATTGTCTGTCTCCTGGATAATGTACATTTTCTTATTCACTGCTATAACTCAGTACCCAAAAGAATGTCTGAGCAGATAGGAGGTATTCAATTATTTTTTTGCAGTGAACATGTAATCACAGAACAGACTGAATAGGACCAGAGATGAAATAAAAAGGTAACCAAAAGTGCTAGAAGAAAAGCCACGAGGAAAGACTCATTCTTTCTTTACTGAGTTAATGAATTAAGGACTCCTTTATCCCATAAGCAAAAAGAATATCTCATCCTTTACCTATATAGTTCTCTAAAATTGCATTTTCTTGATCCTAAAACCCCACTGAATGAAGAAAGGAAGACTCATTTTTATTCATCATTAAGAATGTAATGAGCTTATAGCGTCCTCTAATATGTAACCAACTGCAAGACTCCGATTTTATCCCAAGGACTATTTAGGAATTACTAAGTAGATTTTCCACTCGAAGTCATGTGGACCTGAGAATTTAGAAATGACAATCACTTTGATTTACGAATCTGACCAAAGTTCTCTTTCAATCTTCATGATTCTCTTAAGTGATTAAATAGTATTTTCCCATCTGAAAAAAAAGCTATGTTTAACATTTAATCAAATTCCACTATGACTCATTCATTGTAAATCATCATTAATGACACTTGAACCACCTATAAAAACTGTAGCCTAATAAACGAAGATGGAGCCAGTCTTCAGAGTGCTACCTGGCCTCAGTCTCAAGCCATGTCAGCCTCTAGGAGAATTCCTGACAGCAAGAAATTTCTCAGAGCATGGCATGACACAAATCTGATCTTCAGAGGAGATGTAACATTCCAAAACAAAAATGTTTTGAGTAGCGAATGCTTTGATATAATTGTAAGTTTCAATGATTTAAAATAGCAAGACGTTTTTAATAGATATTACTCCTTCAAATTTTTTTTGTTTAATATTTTCTGAAATTTTTCATCCCTGCTTATGTCATGGGAGAAGTCAACAAGATAATATTTATTAAGTTTTTAAGTTTTCTGAAAAAAAGGTATTAAATATCTAGAGGTATTTATACATCCTACAAAAAATAGAACGTAATGTTTTGAAGATCTGGAAAACATCAATATACGTTGTTTTTTGGCCCAGTGTTTTGACAAACTAAATACCCAGTTGAACTGAAGTCATAAGCATAGTTAAAACTTAGAAGAACATCTAATTTTCACTCACAAAAAGCATAAAATTTTAATATCTTTATAAATAGGTGCTATTTTAACCTAGTGCATTTATTGTCATTAAAAAACAGTAATAACAAGAATTATCAATAGAAAATTTACCAAATTGCTAGTCTCTCACAGCTGTGTGACTCACGATGAAACATTGTTTGTTTTTCTGTAATACCAAAATAATCCCCTTTAAACCAATGCATATTTAAAAAAATGCCTTCTACCTACCTTTCTGATGCAAAAGAAGGGAAATGCAACAAGTCTCTTTAGAATTTACCTTGAATAATAAATTGTTCCATGTTTTCTTTGAAAGGCTGGATGTGCTCTTTTGAGGACACCTGGTATACTTTCCCCGCCTCAACTTCACAGGCTGAAATCAGAGAAAGACCCTGTTTAGAGTGTCACCGTGTTAATGGAGCATTAAAACAATTTTTAAAACATATTAGCTAATGTTAAAAATCCATTAGCCATGCTAATTCATATACATTCTATACATATTTTGGAGACATCCAAATACTGACATAAGAAGCCTATGATCAAGGCTTCACTTTGGAGGGATTGTAAAAAGTTCTTAAGAATCTACAATCCAAGTTTGGTCACCGCCAAACTGCAAATTTAGGAAGGTCCCGTAAGCGCTGAGCCTCAGTCTCATCTGTAGAATGGGCACAACCTTGGTGTCTACCTCTCAGGGCTGTCATGAGGATCAAATCAGTTAATAGATACAAAGCGTTCAAATAGGTCCTGGCAGACAGTAAAACAATATGTCAGTATTTCCTATCATCATCATCCTTGTTATTATCAACTGACTTCTTTTTTTTTAAGATTTTATTTATTTATTTGACAGAGAGAGACACAGCGAGAGAGGGAACACAAGCAGGGGGAGTGGGAGAGGGAGAAGCAGGCTTCCCACTGAGCAGGGAGCCTGACGCGGGGCTCGATCCCAGGACCCTGGGATCATGACCTGAGCCAAAGGCAGAAGCTTAACGACTGAGCCACCCAGGCGCCCCTATCAACTGACTTCTAATGCGAGTTTGTCCCTAATTGAAGTCCACATTTATGAAAAATGACAAGTGACAACTGTGGTGCTAATATTCGCATAGAAATCAGTAATTACAGAGCATCTATTACATGGCAGATGCTTTTAACCTCTTAGTTAACTTAATCTTTAGAATAAGTTAGTAAAAGTGGACAATACCCCATTCTATAGGTGAGGAAATCAAGGAAGCAAAGATTTGGCATATATTATTTGTGGTAAGGTGGAATGCATTTTTCAGAGCATAAATTTAATTGCAGAATTTAGTCCTGATAACTAGAAGATTGTGGGACAAAAAAAAAATTGGCTACATTCATAAATCTTTATCTTAAGAAAAACATTTTGAAATCCATTGTTTTCACTATATGTCATTGAAT